AATATAATATAATATAATATAATATAATATAATATAATATAACAATATTATATAATACAATATATATTCATATTATTTATTTACTTGGACGCAATAATTTTCACTTTAGTCCATATTTTCAGTCGTTATATCCTGTCTTTTTAAATGTCAAGATAATGTTTCAGGCTTTTTCATGCTGAAACAATATAGCTTAGTTTGTATGGCAAAGAAGTGGCCTAGATGTTGGGAGAAAATTGCGCGAAAGGAAGCGTTAATTATTGGACAAGAATTAAACGTAATATTTTCCATCATTAATTGCACGTAATTCCTTGTATCTAAAACAGTTATTAATACAGAAATCAAGCCAAAGAGAAAAACAATCATATCATTTACGTATGTGAAAGTATCATTCCATGGACTTAAATCAGTACTGTAATCGAAAATTTATATGTACTGATTTTATGAAATAAAACAGATTTCAGGTCCTACCAACTAGTGAAAAGATTTCGTGGTAAATGTCAACTTTTAATTTGCTGTGATTTTATCCGTCATTGGTGTTGCATTGTCTGTTGATAACAAGTAGTGGGAATATGCTAGATATGGAGAAAAATATAGATAAGATATCAGAAGAAGTAATTTGTCGCCGAAATCTTATTACTAGAAATTTACAGGTTTCTTTTCCTCGACTTACATTTGATATTTGTTTCTAAAGTCAAATGTGTTTGATATTTAAGCATAAAAAAGTTTAAAGGTTGCCTTTTTACGGTCTAGATTCATTTGACTAAATTACTAGTGAGAATGATCATTCCAGAATTTAAATTATTGACAGAAAAAATTAATTATTGACGAAGTATTTTAGGAAGTATTAGGGTTGGAAAAACTAATGAAACAATTGGAATCGAGGAAAAATATTCATATTTATTGGGGTACAGCAACTACAGGAAGACCTCATGTAGGATACTTTGTACCCATGAGAAAAATTGCTGATTTTTTGTCTGCCGGCTTACAGGTATATTTTATCTAAATTGAAATTTTTTATCATGTTGCATCACGAAACGTTTTATATTCTCTGGTTGGTATTCTAAATTTACTGCTTCAAGAATTCTCATATTAATTACTGGTAACATAATCAAATTATGTAGTGATTGTCTTCATTCTTACCTTTTATTGGAACTGTAAAATGGTCTTGCAGAAATAAGAAAATGCATCAAAATAAATCATACTTTGCAGGTAACGATATTGTTTGCCGATTTGCATGCATTTTTAGATAATTTGAAGAGTTCATGGGATGTGTTGGATAACCGTGTAATATATTATGAGAGAGTTATTAAAGCACTGCTCACTGCTTTAAATGTGCCACTGGATAAACTTCATTTTGTTCGAGGAACATCATTTCAATTAACCAAGTAAAATTGTTGTAATTCTTCGAAACTGTTAAAAACATATATCATGCGACTGGACTGATGACTGTTTTTTCGGGATTACTCTATTTGGCATCTTCAGAAAGAATTGCTAGTTTGTGTGTTAAATTTTATTTCAGTTTCGCACACATTGGCTCATAATTTTAGGGAATATACTTCTGATTTGCTTCGATTATGTAATATTGTAACAAGAAGAGATGCTTTACGAGCTGGAGCTGAAGTAGTGAAACAAGTAATTTTTTTTTGTTTTTTAAAATAGTAATGTGTTAAAGTGTATTTTATGATTTGAATGTTTTTCAGGTTGCCTCACCTTTACTAAGTGGTTTGCTTTATCCATTGCTGCAAGCTTTAGATGAACAGTATTTGAAAGTTGATGGTCAGTTTGGTGGAGTAGATCAAAGAAAAATTTTCATTCTTGCTGAAGAACAGCTTCCAAAACTTAAATTAGGTAAACGATTCCATCTAATGAACCCTATGGTACCTGGTTTGCAAGGGTCAAAAATGAGTAGGTATGCCTTAGAATTATATTTCTCAGTTTATTTTGGTTGAAATTTATTATTCTTGCACGTTTTCTGAAATGGTTTTACTTTTAGTATCATTAAAATTCAATTTAATGTTTTGAATCAAATATATCGAAAAATTACTATGATAGAAGATCTGTCGCATGCATAATTTGTTGTCAAGAAGTTGAAAAATTTTCTAGTTTAGTTCGGAGGAAAACTCAAAAATCGATCTCCTAGATGCAGCTGATATTGTTCGAAGAAAGATTGATGGTGCCATATGTGATCATGATTCTAATGAAAACGGTATATTAGCCTTTTATGAACATGTTCTATTTCCAATTGTTTCACCAAAAACGATATGGGTGGATAGAAAGGAGTTCGAAAATTACGAGAATTTGTACGCAGCACACAGTATCGGACGAATTTCAGAAATGGGCTTGAAAGAGACTATTAAGGTTTCTTCGTTTTTTGTTTCGAACTTCTTTACGCTACAAATCTGATCATTTGGAAATCATTTTGAACATATTAATTTTACAAAAATTGGTTGATTCTAATGTGTGGTCAGTGCGTGATGAGATTGTAGTTTCTTGGTACGTAATCATTCTGGTTTTTATGATTATAAATTTCAATAATATGATTCGAAGGAATCATGGATACGAATAGTTTTGAACTGTTTTTATTTTATATATAAGTAATTTAGATGGGGTTATTAATTTGATGTGGTGCAGAGGGTGTATGTCTGTTGCTATGTGGAGATTAAAAGATCAGTTCCCACGCATACCTCTAATAGTGGATACAATCATTTACGTGGTATCCATTTCGCAGTATGCCAAATTGTAATTTGAATAATGTCATTAGGTTCAGTAGCAATATCATTGCAACCTCAGTGATTATTCGTACATAGTTTTTGCACCCTACCTTTGAAATTACCAATTTGCTTCACTGCAAATTTGCTCTAGTGTTTCATTTTTTAAGTAAATTGTGTTGTTTATTGTTTATTTTATTTTTTATGTTTCTGATTTTATTTTTGTTCGATTTCCATTTATTTGTTGCAGGATTTCATCTGTGAATTATTGGAAGTAGTTCAGAAAAACTGCATGGATGATGAAATGCTACTAACAATAGAAAAAGGTTATCCTAAACATGCTATTGATTGTTATTCATCAGATTCAGTTGATCACCTGGAAGGTATTGATATTTACTTGAATGAAGCCGAAAATCTCAGGCTTAAAGAAATTGTCGGTGATGCTGAGGTATTGCTTTATCGTTTTTATGGTAGTTTTTGAATCGAAATTTTCTGTACTTGTTATTGAATAGCTGTTTCGACGTACCTCTGTATAATTGCTGCTCCACGATGGAATTCTAATGTAGAAGATTCAGTTTTTATTTTATAGTTGGTCAGTGGTGAAAAGTGGCTGAGAAAACGTATCAGAAACAAAAACACATTACATATTGTTTACATAATAGCTCCGAAAGGCCGCTTTCATTTGGGATTTATTATTCCGTTTTTTAAAATAAAGGTTTCTCTTTTGCTTATGTGTGCTATGCAGACTTGATTTGGTTAGGATCTAAAAAAAACATATGACACATTCAGGTATTAGCGATTTTCAGGAAATTCAAAAGCTAGCCGATGTTTCTTCTACAGTAATTTTAGCTGATGTTGAAGCGTTTCTTGATAATGAAAAATGTCCATGGAATGTTCGTACAGCCCGTTGTGATTATTATGTCTCAATGTTGCAGCATGTTTTTGACATTTTGGACTTGAAAAATGTAAAAATTGTGAGAGGATCAGAATATCAATTAGAATCGTTAGTTTTCTTTACTCAATGACAAAAGTGCTTGTTTTATTTGTTGAATTTGTATTTAACTTGCATCAGCATTGAGCAAAGTTTAATTTGCAGTGATTATACATTGGATTTGTATCAGATGGCTTCCAAGGTTACTCGTGATGAAGCCTCCATCCTGAATTGTGCTACACTGGGGTCGCTTTTACCACCATTATATTTTACCATTGATCAATACCATTTAAATGCAGATATCATGATAATGGGAGAAGATATGCGTCCTTTTTCAACCTTCGCTGAACAGGTTCATTGTCTTTCAATGATTATCTTTTCTGGGAATTAATTTATTCATATTAATACAAAGTGCATGTTATCGTAGCATTTTAGAAAAGACTGAGTACCGTCGGTCAAAATATTAGATCTTAAGTGCGGTTTAGTTACAATTAGTAAATAGTATTTTTATTTCATAATTATGAATAATACTTTGTAGTTCTAATTTACTAAAGTTCTATTTATGCTGTGTATTTTTTCCCAACTTTGTAATGTAGATAGAACTGAAGTTTTCAAATCAGTTACACAAAGTTATACTCTATTCTGGGATTAGAATATTTATTGTCATTATAAATTTTAGATTTTGAAGCGTCAGGGACGACAGCCACGTGCCCAGTTATTGCTACCAGTCCTACCATCTATGTCAGGTGATAAGATGTCAGCATCAGATCCTGAACTTCATCTTGATCCTTTAGATACGTTCAAGAGCATAAAGCAAAAAATTGGACGTTCATTCTGCGAACCTGGAAATTTGAAAGGCAATATTGCTTACAAATTAGCAAAGTACTTTATATTTCCACATTTCGGACAAGGTAAATTATTTTTTCATTTCTCTCTTCAGTTGCTCTAGCTCTTATTTAATAATCAAAAGCTATTCTATTTATGTATATTGTGGATTAAACGAAAAATATTGGACATGTTAGTTTTAGCATGTATATTTTTGGTTTTTGATGACTTTTATTTAATATGTTTTTTTGTTAATTTATGCACTGTTTCTAATTAAGTTTTTGAGTAATTCAAAATGTTTACCACTTTCAATTTATAGCAGCAAAATTCAGTCTTTCTTTCTTTTTTAGTGTGAGATAATTCTCTTAATCAGTAAATGCCTTTACGTTCCAGTGTTTGTCATGATATCTTGTACTTCTGAAGCAGTTTTTTCAAGTTATGTTAATTCTTTAATTATTTGTTGTTAATTTCAGAACTGGTAATTGAACGCTCAGATGAAAATGGTGGAACAATTAGTGTAAATGGCGTTAGTGAATTAGAAAAGATAATTCTAAATGAGAGCTTGCATCCAGCCGATCTTAAAGCAGCAATTGTTTCTAAGATCAATCATTTTTGCAATTCCATTCGAATACATTTCGCTACACAAACGAAATTGCTATCTTCAGCATTTCCAACGAAAAAAGGCGGGAAGAAATAATTAACGTTCTTGTTAAAATAATACGACACGAATACGATGTTTTATAACTAAAATTTATGCTTCTTTACGGAAAGAAAATTGTAGATATAACTGACCTTATTTTATTATATTTTAAATCTGGTATAGAGTTTAAAGTAGTTTTTTAGCGCTAGTTGACGTTCCAAGTTCCATCAAAAATTATCTGTTGTCTAACTGATTGTTCTTTTGTTCTTCAAGCTGTTACATACTTGTTTCAAAGCAAGCAACTCGTTTCTTTTATCAAAATAGAGTTTTTTATGGATTAAGTTAAAATTGTGCATCATTTTTTAAGGAGTAAAAGCATAGTATATTTGCCGCAAGTAAACGATGGACTGAAATAAGAAATAATTGAAACAAAGTTTTTCTCTTCGTATAAATAGAAAAAGTAAATTTGATTGTGTCTTTGCAGTTAATTTGAGTTGGGATGTAGATATAATCGACCCACCCTTCTCATATTGTTTTTAGCTTTACTGAAGCAAAATTTATGCAAAAAATAAATAAATTGGCTTTTTTTTGTTAGTTTGGTATACAGTATTAAAAATGAATGAATGGGATATTGGTGATTAGTTTCATATGGTCAGAACTGATAGAGTGTACGGAGATTCGGATGTTTGATTATCAGAATGTTCTTAATGAGCAGTAAGTTTGTAGCTGACATTTTGCTGTTGGAATGAGTATTAAAGTAGCGTTTTTGCATTCTTACTTTTTGCTTAAAATGGGATGGGTGGGATCTTCCTCACAACGTAGTTGCAATTGTTTACTTTCTCGTGTTATAAAGTAATTTATTACTTTGTAAATTTATTCATCGATAAAAGCAAAACATTCGCTGTTCTTGTCACTATTTCATGTCGTTAGATGTAACATTTTTGAATATGAGCATTGTCAGAACATGTTTTTACTTAAGCAGATTGCTATATTAGCTATTTTTAGTTTGGTTGACTTTGCACATATCTTATTGATGTACCAGTACTTCTAATAATACTTTTATAGTAGTGATTAATCTTTGGGATGATTAGTTGCTTTTTATTTATCCTTCTGAAGTCTTCTTTTTGAAGGTCGGTTTTGTAGCACGAAATACTCACTATTCTGAAATTAATGAATTTTTATTGCAACGAGAAATGTGATGTATACGTTTTTTTAGAAAGTACATGGAATTGTTTGCATTGATGTGATTGCTGGGTTTGTGGTGCTTATTAATTTTAATTTTTTAATGACTGACTCACAGTGTAGTTTGGTATTACTGTGTCTGAACACATCTCTTAGAATTTTGAAATGTTTTGATTTTCTTCTTTTTCATGGCAAACTTGGTGTGAATTAATCAAAATTTGAATCAAGCTGATGGATTGAAGTGTTATTTTATTGTTTCTGTGTAATAGTACCTAAAACTATTATATTTAAAGTAAGGATGATGTTCTTATTTAAATTTTTGTGTTAGTTTGCTCTACAAATCATATCAAGATTGTAGCAAGATGACCTCAATAATAACTAATGATTGTACATGAATTGTCGGTAAACATGATTTAAGTATGACCTGAAGGCGACGATTAAGGGATTAGCAAGGTGATGTGCATGGAGCACAGCCTTTCTTAATTCCTGAATTTTTCAGCAATCGGTTATATAACCAGCGATGAATAATGGATGTAGCAGATGTTAAAAGTACGAAATGAATGCATTTATAGTTTTAAAGAGAAAGAATTTGGGGTACTTGGAAGTTCAGTTGAATTAAGTTCAAATATTTAAACATTGGTGAACCAGTTCATTGGTCAATTCAAATTCTTGTGTGTAATAGTATTAACTAGCAACTGTTTGGAAATGTACTAGAAAATCGAAAGGCAGTACTAATATATAGATTAAAGTAATTGAAATTGATCTAATTTAGTGATAATCATAAATGTGCTGGTAAAAACAACTGTAAATAATCAAGATGGACTACATTTTGGATAATTAAGGCAGTTGTACATTATTTATATATGTTTCTGGAAGAATGATTGTGAAAAAATAAGTATATAGCATTTGGAAAAAATTTTATCTCAAAAAAGATCGTTGCAGTTATTAATTATAGTAATCTAATTTGCATAAATAGTGTTTTGATTCATTGAAGTGAAAAATTGAGAGTTTGATCTGAGCAATGGCATCATTTTTACCACCTGTTGTGCTTTTAAATTAATTCACCAATACTGACTGAGGTGATGGAAGGAAATGCGTGTACCTCATGCTGCTAATTAATTATTACTTAAAAAATTGGAATGAAGCAGACCGGAAGTTTCGCATCTTTTGTACATCACAATTTTTTAGTTCAGTTAAGGAAGAAGCACTGCTGAGGGAGGTTTTGGTTCTTTCTACTTTTTTACTTAATGTACACGTTTGCATCAGATTAAAACATCTTGCGCATTCATTCATTCATTAACTCATTAACTCATTCATTCATTCATTTATTCACTCGTTCATTCTTTCATTTATTCACTCATTCATCTGTATTTCTGTTATCCCAAACTCAATAATTGATACTTTTCAACGAAAACATGAAGAAAATTTTTGGAAAAATTAGGTTTAATGAACAAGTGTGATTTATGTTGTTTGGCTTTGATTCTTAAATAGCTATTTCAATCTTAAATACTTATCTTTGACTGAGATAAGTATTTAAGATTGAAATAGCTTTTGTAATTTGCAGATCTGATAATTCAGTCAAAACTATATAAAAAAGCAAAGAGTACAATTTTACTGAATTTCAAATGAATTTTATTTTGCTATTGTTGTCACGTTTTTTCAAGAGAATGATTTTACAATAAATTATTTGCAATCACAAGTGGTGCATCAAGTTGTTATCGCAATTTCGTGGTAATAATCGTTACGTCATGAACCTAAAATGTATTAATTGGTACTTGACAGTAAATTTGTACATACTTTACTTCATATACACGTAATTGATTGCGCAAAAAGCTTCCACATTTCTCACTTCTCAGTGAGTAAACTTGTCAATTACTTTGTAATTCTCAGTGAATAATTCACAGCATAAAATATAAATTAAATACTAATAAATAGCTATGCTTGAAAAACAGAGTAAAAACAAAACCGAATTTGTAAAATCGCGTAAAATGCTGTTTACTTTTCCGAATGTTTTTCGAATTAATACAATTCTTTAGCCATATTTTAAAATTTTAATTATTGTGATAAAGTTATATTTGCTATTATTTCAATTCAAAATGTTTGTCTTTAATAAATGCATGAACGCTACTATGTCAACAAACAATTAACCGTAAATCGTAGCTGTCTAAGATTTACTCAGTGATTTGTATGGAACAATTACAGGTAATCCAAAGTATGAGCCCATCATAATTGCTCAATTTATTTCTTGTAAGACTGTAGCGTTAGTGATGAATATAAAATTGCTTAATATAACTTATCACTTAGATGCTTGATCTTTTTTGAGCAGAAATTTCGCATCAAGCTCAAATTTTATTTTACAGAACTTTTTTTAATATAGTCAAAAACATTTTTGTACAATATTTTTTTTTTTGAAATTTGATCCAAAAACCTACCAAAAATTCTTGTCAAAAGATAATATTGAATAATTTCGATAAAAGTTTTTGGATCAAAATCTTATAATATATTCTGAAAGTATGATAATGTGCATGAAATATCTGACAATTTGTTTCAAAATTTAAAAATTCGAAAAAAATTTTTAAAAATCACTTCTCAATCCTTTTTACCAAAAACTGTTGTGATATTTTTGCTAAAAAATTCTTTACTTTTTGAAAGTTTAAAAAGATAATGTCTAACTGAATTAAAATTTTTAAAAAATTTTGAAAAACTTAGCAATCAATTAGTGAAAAAGTTTAGATTAAAACAATTTTACTTCATGAATAATTTAAATTTAATTTATAAAATTGTAAAATTGCCATCTTTGATTTTAGAAATTTCACTAACAAACAATCTTTATTGAATTCTAAACTTCAAACTCTACAGATTTTCCAGAGAAAGAAAATTATTGAAGTCTAGCTAACATCTAATTGTGGCTTAATCTGAAATGATTATGTTAGCTAATGAATTCATGCATCACTGAGTGATTGCTTGCAGTTTGTTGCTAATTCTAACTCTAATTTAAATGCTTCTTGCTATTTTGGCATTTGTAAATCCAACTTAACAATTCATTCTTGTTTTCGTTAACTTATTTACTTTCATTTCAAATTTAATTCTGTTTTAATTTATTACCGAAAATAAATGCTAAATTTAAATATATTTGAATTTATAGACTATTAACTAATGCAAGTAATTTTTGCAATTTTAATAATTTAAAGTTTTTTTTTTTGACTAAATTTCAGTATAAATTAACGTAAAATGTTTAGGAATGATGATATATCATCACAAGTAAAATAGGAGTAATGAAGAGAAGACTGTTTAGGTGGGTGTGAAAATAAGGAATTTTTACAGGTCATAAAATCTGCCTACCATAAAAGGAAAAAGCATAAATAGCCAGTTTTTCACTGCCATCAAATATTACATCTATTTTATATCTTGCTGCGTACTTTCTCTGATATAATGCAGATATTACGTACGTATATACTTTCACGTTTTTGTTATTGCAGCGTGAAACTTGCATTTAACTTTATCACAACCAACCTTTACCAACTTTAATTATAGTTTTCCATAATTTATTGTATTTATTAATTGTACCTAGATTTCGTTTCATATTTACTGATTTTAATTTTTGTAGAACTTTTTCTGCATAATTTTGTGATTGATTAGGAATATTTTAACTTCAGTATTTTAATTTTTTGTATTTTTTACACAAATATTTTATTTTTTGTTTTCTTGTTAAGTAGACTGCTGAACTTTTTAAATTATTTGGTGATTGATTTGTCTCGAATAAACTACTGAAAGTAATAATAATCTTTTTGAAGTGACCGAAATGAGTGAATCTTCTATCTAATCTGATTAAGATGACAATAACCAAACTTACTCACTGCTCAAATCTCATTATC